AGAGTGGCTGGAAAGCCACGAAAGCCGACCAAAGCGGCCAAAAGACCAACGCTCGGCCGAGAAGGTTATGGTCTCCGTTTTTTTGGTCCGTTTTTTGGGATGCGCATGGCATAATCTTCATCGATTACCTGCAGAAGGGAAAAACAGTTACGGGAGAGTATGATGCAGCTTTATTGGGTAAACTGAAGGACGAAATAAAGAAAAAACGGCCTCATATAGCGAAGAAAAAAGTTCTGTACCATCACGATAACGCACCGTTACACACGTCCTTGAAAACGATGGCCAAATTGGACCAATTACGATTCGAATTGGTTGCTCATCCACCGTATCCCCACCGTATTCTCCAGACTTGGCCCCCAGCGACTATTATCTGTTCCCAAACCTCAAGCGGTGGCTCCAGGGAAAGAGATTCAGATCGAATGAGTCATCGCGGAAACCGAGGCGTATTTCGAAGGCTTGGACGTTTCGTACTACAGAAAGGGCATCAAAATGTTGGAAAATCGCTATACCAAGTGTATCGCCCTCGAAGGCAACTATGTTGAGGAATAAATATAACTTTGCCCAAAAAACGCTTGTTTTCATTAAAAATCCCGGGACTTTTCAGCCCAAGTAGTACATCAATACTGGTGTAGACATATATGCGTATGTATATACATAGTGATATTTGACAGCTTATAATTAGCGTGTGCAACTGCGTTCACGCAAATATATGGCGATTGGCCAGCTCGTGCTGTGGTATTCCATATAATTTTGGAATTTCGCTCTTATCTCATAATAGGTTTAAAATAGGAAGGTCCCGTTATCCCAATACGATAACACATATCGATCGGTATTTAGTAATTTTCCGATATATCTATACACACACAATACTATCAATGAGAATATTTTATATTAAATTGGTCAATCAGCGATGTGGGAGCAATGGGATTTCTTGTTCAAAATGAAGGAGATTCTACTTTATACATATATTAGCGCTGTCCAAGATTTTGGGTATTGGTTAATGTGACATCTGTTGTCTCTTTCATTTTTCTAATGAAGATAAAAAAAGGAACGAGTATAATATATAGGCGTAAACACCTACACTTCATGTCAGTGCCCAAAAAGCAAATCTTGAACAGTACTGATATATGTATATGTAGGGTAAAAGCAGGGATTATGGAATAGCTTTTTTTAAATTAACATTGCTCCGATATAAATGCATATGAAAACTTCAAATTTACACAGAACTCTTGAAGAATATGTTAGCTACAACATTCAATAAATGAAAGTCGCCAAAATTTAAGTCCAACGTCAATAT